ACCTAACTTGTATTATTATTTCGTGCAAGAATATGTTTGAATAAGCAGTAGATATGCATGTGGTGGGTTTGGTGCTTAGTAACATTTAAGTTCTAAGTGAGAATCCATAAGAAGGCAATGTAACTCTTTTTTTTAATTTGTAGTATTCTAGTGGTTACACTCTATTAGTCGAGGGACCAGAGTTCCAATATTTTCACTGTGATTTCAATCATGGTTGGTCTTTATAAACACTTAAAATGACAAAAAAAGAAAAAAAAGCCCACTCCGAATGATGAGTATTCTAGATTTCTAGTGGTTAAACCTATGATTTTTTTTTCGGTTGACAAACATAAACAAATATGAATTTAACTGAACCACATCGGAATATAACGTACTTTCACATTAGTTTTGGCGGATTGAAATAGGATTTTCTAACAGTTTTTAAAATCGAAAAATTAGTATAATAACAGTAAATTTTGGTAGAATAGAAAACTATATATGCCAATAACGCAGCAATATATTCAATTATGGTATTTAAAAGCATAAAATTTCATGTCGACAGTTTTGAATAGGCACATAAGAAAGCAGGCTAATAATTGGTTGTTTGATTGCATACACTAGTCAGAAAAGCTAATATTCTAAGTAACCGAGTGGCTTTAATATACTTGTCGACTTAAGAAAAGGTTTAAATAAATAATTAATTGTTATGATAAACCGTGGAAGTTTCCAATCTTTGGTTCATAATTTTTTTAATATCCAGAGTCTATTTTTTAGATATTCCAATTTAAAAAATAACTATCCGTCCCAAAAAATGTTTGAATTCGGAGCATTAGAAAACTAACTCATTTTGTTATCACTACGCCACCAAATTTTTTTATAAATAATCAATTGTTGAATAATGAAAACATCAAATTGTAGTAGCTTTACTTAGGCACACGTCTTCATAGGGAATCTCTTTTTAAAGTCGGTCCATTTTTATGTTATGTCATTTGGCGGCGACCTAACAACAAATTTATTTACATACATTGATACAAATCAACTAATCATAAAAACCCCACTCCTAACTATTCTTTTCCATATTGATAATGATTTTTTTTTCTTTTGACAGATTAAAGATTGAGTATGATATTCAAATAAATCGTTAAACTAAAAGTTTAGATATTCATAATTTCATATAATCTATAGGTACTATGGTTTCAACAAAAACAGTGTACGACAAAAAGAATATAAGATCGACGAAATAATAGCAAAATTCTATATACATATATTCATTATGTATCATTTATGTCCAGCATTAG